CCCTGTGGGATCCTCTGCGGGAGAGTGGCGGGACCCTGCAGCCTCTGGTCACGCCACCTCCTGCATGCCCCCCTCCCATAATGGTCCTGAAAGGGGACCGGGACCTCTGAAGGGCTTACAGCTGGTCGGATAGGAAATCCAGCCAGGGCCTGCTAGATGAAGCGCCCTCTCTGCGGTCCGCAGAGGACATGACTAGCATTGCTGCTGCCACTGGTGGTAACTTCCAGTGCATCCGCTTGGGTCTGAGCCTGGGAGAGGGCAGGGCTGCCATCAAGGTCCCTTGTTAGTCCCTCCCAGCCAGTACAGTTCTGCTCCTGCAGCAGGTGCCACGTTGACCACATTCTGCCGGAACACAGAAGTGCACCTTCCCGCATTCAGACCCTGAGTCGCGCCACACCCCCTCCTGTTTCAGGACTGGCACTTTGTCTTCAAGGCTGGAAGAGGAAGAGGAGGAGAAAGGGAGAGAGCTCCAGAGAGGTCCCTGTACAGGGCTGTGGCACAGCCCCACACTCAGCAGTGACAAAGTGAGTCTCGGCTCCAAGCCCTGGGAGTAGGGGGTGAATAGGGAGACCACGGTGTCTCCTTCTAGGAGGTGGCATTGTCTGGGGAGAGCAAACACCCGCACAGCACTCTCCAGTTCTGGGGACGGTCTTCCTGCCGGGTCAGCCATGCTCAGTATGGGCTGGGACAAGGTGGGAGGAGTCCTGGGGAGGGAAGCCTCTTTTCAAGGTAAAAGGAGCCCCTGAAGACTCCAGAATCCAGAAGGTGCACAAGAACTTAAAAAAGAGGGAAGACACAGGCCCAGCAGGTGGCATGGTGGTTAGGGAACTGGACTCTCAAATGGTCAACCGCGGTTTGGGCCCTGGACCCAGAGGCTTGAAAATCACACAGGCATGTGTGCGTACATGCCCAAAATCCCAAGAGGAGAATAGAGAAGGGATTGTGGCAAGGCCATCCCCCCTGGGGGAGGTGACTTCTCACTTCTCTCTGTCTCTCTGTCTCTCTCCAGCGAGAGCACACACCCTATGGTGAAAACCTAAAAAGAAAGAAACAGGAAGCAGGCCTCCCCTTGTGTCCCAGCACCCCTCTATCCCGGGCTCACAGACAGGGCTGCCCCAGGGACCAAGAGAAAAGGGTTCCCATCTCCTTATTGCCCCTCAGAATCCAGGATGGAGGGCCCTCTCCCTCGAGCTCCCACACCCACACTCCTCTTTCCCGCCACTCCCACGCTTCCCTCCAAGCTGGGAAAGCACAGACGCTCTTTCCAGGAACAGCCGTGCTCCTCCTTGCCCCTGCTGCACAGAGGACAGTGCTCCAATGGACCCCCCTCCCGCAGGGTGGGGGAGGTGCCGCATTTCTGAGGCTCATCTGGGTCGGGTCGCTGCACCTGGCATTCTCCACACCTGTGTCTCCGGTTCCATGCAGAAGCAGTTCCCCCCCACCCCCGCCCCGAAACTCCCAGAGGACTGCCACGTGTTCCTGCTCCTTCCACCCACACTCCCTTGGACAGCCCTACTCAGGCCCCACTTGGGGAAGCCCACCCTCTAGCACTTGTCACCCAAGGGAGGGGAGAGACCACCGAGACCCCCTTTGCTGGCCTCCCTATTCATCCTGGTGCCCTGCTCCCTTGTGAGAAACAGCCAGCTCTGGGTCCTTGAAGGAGCTGTCTACCCATCACCAGTCCAGCCTTTAATGCCCCCTCTGTCTGCCTCCAGACAGCAGACAATGCCTCCGTTCTCCCTCAGGCTTGGCCTTAGGAAGCACCCAGAGGAAAGCAAAGCTGTTAAAAATCTGAGCTGGGCTAAAGAGGCTATTTTTGTCTGCCCGGAGTTTCCTCATTCTCTGAAGCCTCCTTGTGTCCCCTAGGAGCTGGCGTCTTCTAGGACAGAGAAAGACAGCCCCTGGTTGCCCTTCCAGAAGCCCTGAGGGGAGACGCTGGTGCTTTTCACGGAACTTGCACCATTTTTCTTTTTCCTTTTTTTTTTTTTTTTTTTTTTTTTGCTATAGGGTTTTGCCTTTCTGGGGGGAAAGAGAAAAAATCACCACCACCCCCCAGGGGGATGGTCACGCTGCAATCCCTTCTCCTCCATTCTCCTCTCTGGATTTTGGGCATGCATGCACACGGGCCCAGCATGAGTTTGAAGCTACCAGGTCCAGGACTTGAACCACGGTCAGTAGGTGGCATGGTGGTTTATGCACTGGACTCTCATGTGGCTTACTGTAGTTCGAGTCCCAGACCTGGTGGTTTTCTTTTTCACTTTCTCTGTCTCTCTTTGATGAATGTGCATCCCCTGCAGAAAAATTTTTTAATAATAAAATTAAACAAATAATTTTCAAGAGAGTTTTGTTATAGGGTACATGGAATCACCAGAGAGACCGAAAGCAAGAAATCCCCCCTCGAGAGGATGGCCATGCTGCAATCCCTTCTCCTCCAGTCTTCTCTTGGGATTTTTGGGCACGCATGCATGCACACACACCCAACATGAGTTTTTTGCTTGTTTGTTTGTTTGTTAGAGGTTTTCGCTATAGGGCGTGTGCACTCGCCAGAAAGACAGAGAGAGACATAGAGACAGAAAGCGAGAAATCACCCCCCAGGGGTGTTGGCCACGCTGCAATCCCTCCTCCCCCATTCTTCTCTCGGGATCTTGGGCACACACGCACACATGCCCGGCGTGAGTTTAAGCCACCGGGTCAGGGACGCGAACCATGGTCGACTACATGGGAGTCCAGTGACATAAGCATTACGCTAACTGCTGGTCCCCCAACATGAGTTTTAAGCTGCCAGGTCTGAGACTCAAACCACGGTCAACTACGTGGGAGTCCAGTGATATAACCATTATGCCATCTGCTGGCCCTTAAGTAAATAAATCTTTGAAACAAAACGAAACATAGCAAAACTGTCTTAAAATACAAAAGGGGGAGGGGAGCAGCTTGTGACATGGTGGTTAAGGCATCAGACTCCCACATGGCTAACCACAGTTTCAGTCCTGGACCTGGTGACTTTCTCTCTCTCTCTCTCTCTCTCTCTCTCTCTCTCTAATTTGGTCAGCACATGAGCCCTACAGCAAATTAAAATAATAACAATAAATAAAATTAAATAAATAATTCTTTAGGGGAAAAAAAAGAGGGGGGCCATCCAGGGACCAGCAGTTAGCATAATGGCTATGTCGCTGGACTCCCATAGTCAACCGCGGTTTGAGTCCTGGACCCAGTGGCTTATACTCACACTGGGCATGTGTGCGTGCATGTCCAAGACCCCAAGAGGAGAATGGAGGAGACGAGACTGCCGCGTGGCCACTCCCCCCGGAGGTGATTTCTTGCTTTCTGTCTCTGTCTTTCTGGAGAGTGCACGTACCTTACAACAAAAACCTCTCCAAAAAAAAGGGGGGGGCATCCAGTGGTATGGTGGTTAAGGCAGCTAGAGCCCACATGGCCTACTGCGTGGTTCAAGGTCTGGACCTGGGAGCTCAAAAACACCCTGAGCATGTGAGCATGTGTGCCCAAAATCCCAAGAGGAGAATGGAGGAAAAGGGATTAAGGGGCGGCCATCCCCGCCGGGACGCGGAGGAGGGAGTCCTTGTCCACTTTCTCTCTCTGTCTCTCTGGCGAGTACATGTACCCTATACCAAAAAATTTTTTTAAAAGAATAAAACTGAGCAAGGTGGGGCTTAATGTATAGTCTGCACTCCAATTATATTTTTCTTTAAATAATTATTTATTCATTCATTCATTTTAATTTGACCAGAAAGAGACATACAGAGACAGAGGGAAAGTGAGAAAGCAACCCACCAGGTTTGGGACTCAAACCCTGGTCAGTCATGTGGGAGTGCCCAGCGCCTTGACCACCACTCCACCTGCTGGTCCCTTTCATTATATTCTGAAATTCAGATACAGCTTCTGGACAAATTTCTTAGGCTCCACCCCCACCAGCCAGGTGGAAAGCCTGGACCTCCCCGTAGGCCTCCCAGGGAAGCTGCACTCACCCCACACACTCCGCACGCTTCTGCCGCGCCCCTACCCCCAGTAGCCGTCGCCATGGAGATCGTGTACGTGTATGTCAAGAAGCGCAGCGAGTTCGGGAAGCAGTGCAACTTCTCTGACCGCCAGGCCGAGCTGAACATCGACATCCAGCCCAGCCCCGAGCTGGCCGAGCTGTTCGTGGAGCGGAACCCGGTGGACACGGGCACCCAGTGCTCTGCCAGCATGTCGGAGCACGAGGTGGGCCCCAGGGCCAGTGGGGCGGCTCAGGCTGGAATCGGCAGGGTGGAATCAGAAGGGTGCTGGTGGGGCAGGCAGGTGGCTGGATGTCTCTCTCTGTTCACCGGAAGGCAGCTAGAAGGGTCAGTGGGGGAGGCCCGGAGCTCCCCATCTGTGTGGGCAGTGTTCAGCTCCCATAGGCCATTTCGTTAGGTCCAGGTCTGCTGCACACTGGGTTTGGCCGAAACACGTCCAACACTTGGGGTGTGGTGCGGTGGTTCTAAACGACCGTCCCAGGCCGGCCACTGCCATGGGGACGAGGTCACACCCAGCTAGGCCCTCCCATCAGCAGCTCTGCCCCATCAGGACGTCTCGCTTGAGAATTCTCTTAAAAATGGAAAGAGGGGCCAGTTGGTAGAGCAGTGGTTAAGACGATTGGATACCACATGGCCTACAGCATGGTTCGAGTCCTGAACCCAGCAACTTGAAATACATCAGGCGCATGCATGTGTTTCTCAAATCCCAAGAGCAGGGAGAAGGGATTTCAACGTAGCCATTCCCCCTAAGGGGTGCCTTCTCTCTCGCTCTCTCTCTCCAGCATGCGCATGTACCCTGTAGCAAATTTGGAGGGAAAAAAAAAATGGAAAGGAGATAGGTATGATGGCTTGCTGGGCTTGGGTTTCCAATCCAGATGGTGAGAAAGTTCTGGAAGGAGACGGTGGTGCTTTGGACAGCATTGGCTCTGTCCTTGATGCCACTGAGTCGCACACTTTCAGGTGGGCAAAATGGTGCAGTTCCTGCTAGGTGTGTTTTACAGTGGAAAAAAGTGGGACAAGGGGGAACACGGAGTTGCAAGTTCAGCGGATAAAATTGTCGCAGAGGATGGGCAAAGCGTGTTCACGCACCGCCTCTAACTTCAATTCCTGAGACACTGTCGGTGGAAGGGCAGGAAAGACTCTCACTTCACTGTTCTGTGGAATCTTCCAGAATAGATGAGTGAGCTGTTCAGGCCCTGGGGCTCAGACAAGGTCAGACCTGGACCTCCTGTGACCTCTACTATCCGCAGCAAAACTGCGCTTCCCTGGGGTGGCCCCTGTCGTGGCCGCTGTGGGCCTGAGGACCAGGCTCTGTGGTCTGGCTGCTTGCCGGAACTGGGGAGGTCACGGCTTTGGCCAGGGTCCTTGTTGTGCTCACCTGGGGCAGATGCCGCTCACCCGTGTCTCTGTTCAGTTTTTGGTTCGAGATGGAGACCCGGGGTGTCAACCATGTCGAGGGCGGCTGGCCCAAGGATGTGAACCCCCTGGAGCTGGAGCAGACGATCCGCTTCCGGAAGAAAGTGGAGAAAGACGAGAACTACATCAACGCCGTCATGCAGCTCGGCTCGGTAAGGCCCCCCGCTCACCCCACCACTCCAGCTCCCCGGGGGGCTACAAGGCCCTGCCATGCCTAGCCCTGGGTGAGCTCATGAAGCTGCAAGGGCAAGGGGGCCTGCCACCCTCAAGGACCTCTGTCTGGCAGTGGGCATGCAGCGGCCCAACAGCAGACCGGAAGGGGCAGGGGCTGACGAGCTCAGGAGAAGTCTGAAAAGTGGTCTCCTTGAGCAAAGGACCCCAAAAGAGCCATGTCCAGCAGCCAGTATGGACCATTCATTCATTCAGCAAGTTTGGGTTGAGCTTCAAGTCTCTGCTAGGCACAGCAGAAGTTGTAAAAACGAATTTCACGAACGTCCTGCCCCAAAGAGTTTACAGTTCACCGGCGGTCAAAGACACGTAGAGACAGCCCCACGTGACATGGGAGGGAAGAGGCGCAGTCCGAAAATGGGTGACTTGCCATTTTGCCCCAGAAAGAGAAAGTCAATTTCCTGCTAAACCAATCAGGGAAGGCTTCCTGGAAGAGATGGCAGCGAAACCTGAGCTTTCCCTTGCTGGACATTTGGAATAGTAAGGGTGGGAACTCTGGGTGGAGGAACCAGGTGTCTGCAGGAATAGGGAGCAGGAGATGGGTGCCAGTAGAGGGAGTGACGACCATCCTGTCAGACCAGAATGGTGTATTTCTCTATTGCCCCCATGGAGCCTGCTCAGACACTCCTAACACCCCCTCCCTGGTGCCCCTTCAGAGCCACGGGGAGACTGCATGGCTGTTCCTGTGCTGCACGTCCGTCAGGCTTCTTCATAGCCATAATGTTTTGCCCCTACAAGCCAATGGAAAATGTGCCCTGTGAGGGCCAGTCCCATAGTGCAGTGGTTAAGTGCTGTGCATTGGGAGCCAGATTCCACACAACTGACCGCAGTTCGAATCCCTGCCCTGGTGGATTGACAAACATGCCAAGCATGCGTGAGCACCCCAAATCCTAACATAACGGAGCCATGAAGGAAAAAGAATGGCGAGCGTGACCATGCCTCACTGGGGGGGTGCCCATTCTCGCTCCTGCTCCCTCTCTCGCTGTCTGTCTGTCTCTGGCAAGCTCCCGCATCCTCTGGCAAGGCAAAGATAAAGCAGGGCCGGCAGGTGGCGTGGTGATGAAGGACTCCCATGGCCTGCTGTGGTTTGAACCCCGGACCCAGTGGCCTGAAAAATAAAACCATGGGGACCAGCAGTTAGCGTAATGGCTATGTCGCTGGACTCCCACTCACGCCAGGCGTGTGTGCGTGCGTGCCCAAGATCCCGAGAGGAGAATGGAGGAGAAGGGATTGCAGTGTGGCCATACCCCCTGGGGGGTGATTTCTCACTTTCTGTCTCTCTGTCTTTCTGGCGAGCACACGCACCCCCCCCCCAAAAAAAAATCACACCAGGTGCCTGTGCATGCGTGCCCAAGATCCCAAGAGGAAAATGGAGGGGAAGGGATTGCAGTGTGGCCTTGCCCCCTGGGGAGGGAGTTCTCACTCTCACTCTGTGTCTCTCTGGACCTCTCTGGCAAGCACATGTGCCATATGGCAAAAACCTTTAAAGAAAGAACGCACTGATGGACCAGCTGATGCTGGGCTGAGGCAGCTGGGTCCACGTGGCCAGCCTCACAGTTCAAGTCTCAGACATGGAGGCTTGAAAACATGTTGAGTGCATATACATGCCCAAAACCCCGAAAAGGGGGAAATGGAGAACAGCAATTGAGGAGTGACCGGGGGGGTGGGGGGGTGTTTTCTTGCTTTATCTCTCTCTCACTCTCTCACATGAACACACGGGCCCTCTGGCAAATTTAAAAAAAAAAAAAGAGAAAAGAAAGGAAAATGCGCTGGCTAGAAGAGGAGACGGGACCACTGAGTACTCCTGGGCCTCCCAGACCGCACCACAGCCCTGGTGGGTCCGAAAGGCCTGCGTCCCGTAAGACGGCGCCGCTCCTCCCCAGATCATGGAGCACTGCATCAAGCAGAACAACGCCATCGACATCTACGAGCAGTATTTCAACGACACGGAGGCGGTGGAGGTGACAGAAGAGGCCCCTTCCGCGAAAACCATCAACGTTTTCAGGTAGCTCCGCAGCCCAGCTCGGGCAGCCCCATGGGTGAGTGCGCCCAAGGTAGCTCCCGGCTGCCAGTCCCCCTGTGCCCTGGGTGCTGTCTGTGCGTCGAGCTCGGCAAGGGGCAGAGCAATGAGGCGCCCGGCAGAGGAGGCAGTCTCTGGGGAGCCCTGGGGGCAGCCCTGGGGGCAGCTCTCGGGCTGGGAAGGAAGTGCGGATTCTGGGGAAAGACTTGGAGCGAATTTGCTGACCCGAGCGCACGCGGGGCCAGTTCCCACATACAGAGGAAGTGCAGAGTTCAGACCTAAGCACTGCGGTGCACCGAGGGCAGACAGGCCCCTCTCATCCTGCGGGAGTTCTGGGAGTAGCCACGAAGGACGCGAAAGGACAGCAGTTTGATCGCAAGAATGTGCGTATTTATTTATCTCAATGTTTGCTGGGCACACAGGCGCACTGGAGTCTGACAGGGAGAGACAGAAAGTAAGAAATCACCTCCCAGGATCACGGCCATGGGGCAGTCCCTTCGCCTCCATTCTCTGTTTGGGATTTTGGGCACACACGCACCCACACCCAGCATGATTTTCAAGCCGCTGGGCCCAGGACTAGAACAGCTCAGCTGGCCATGTGGGATCCAGCACTTCAACCACACTGACACCTATTGGCCCAAGAAAGAGGCTCTGTCCCATAGATACATGTGAAATCACCGCGCATGCGGATAGTCACTGCTGCAGGACGCATGCTGGCCACAAGCTGGAGCAGGCTACCTCCATCAAGGGGCCTGGGGCTAGGAATTCGGTACGCCTACATACCGTGCCGCTTAAAGGGACAGGGCAGGCCGGCGCCATGGCCCGATGGCTTGAGATACACGTAGCGCGCATGTGTGCCCAAGATCCTGAAAGAAGGGAGAGATGGAGGAACAGGGATTGTGGCATGACTATGCCCCATGGGAGGCGCGTCCCCTCACTCTCTGTCTCTGGCGAGCACATGCACCTTCTAGCAGAAAACAAAAGGGCAATTATTTTTGTTTAAAATATACGTATGTGTGTGAACGTATGCATGTGTGTAATGCATACATATATGTACACAAAACATGTATACTTTTTTCTGTTTGTTTAGATGTTTTTGCCTTAGGGCACGTATGCTCGCTGGAGAGAGAGACAGAGACAGTGAAAGGGGAAGAGAGAAATCACCCCCTGGAGGGATGGCCATGCCACAATCTCTTGTCCTCCATTCTCTTCCCTGGATTTTGGGCACATATGCACAAATACCCGGTGTGAGTTTCAAGACACTGGATCTGGGACTCGAACCGCAGTCAGCCATGTGGGGGTCCAGCGACGTAACTGCTACACCATCTGCTGGCCCCAGGCTCATATACTTGATACACAGAGATATCTGTGCTTTGGGACTTCTGGCTTCCAGTAGTGGGAGGATACATTCTGTTGTTTTAAGCCTCCCGGTTTCCGATGCCCTCCCACGCTGGTAACAGGAGGGTCGCCACCACCATAATCAGTCCCGAGCACATCCATGGAGGGCAGGAAGGAAGCTCATAGGACAGGGCTGAGAACAGGCGTGGGTGAGGCCTGGAGAAGAGGGAGCCCTCGTCCTTGAAGAGGTGGTGGGAGTGGTGTGGGTGGGGCCGCACTGACGCAGAGGCAGACAGTGGCATTGAGGGTGATGGTGCCCCGAGGTCTGGCTTTGTCCATGCAGTACAAAGCAACGTCGCCCATTCGGAAGGAGTGAGGTGAGAAGGACCCTACGAGAAGGGCAGGGGTGTATCAGAGGACAGAACTACAACCAACTGAGCTTACAGCCTGGAGACTTGTATCTATGATTCTAGAATTGGACAGCTCCTTGTTCTGCAAAACGGAGTCCGCGCTCCCACGAGAAGAGTAAAGGAGTTTAGTTCTACAGACAGGAAAGGGTGAGGAAAGTGGAAACAGAACCGAAAGGGGGATGTTGCTTTCCAGGTCCTTTCGCTGGAAAGGTTAAAGCAGAGGGACTTCCTTGTCACGCTGGCCAGGACTGGCCTTTCTGGGACCAGCTCTCGTCATGTCCCCATTTCTCCGACGGTCATATAAAGGTGGCGGGAACTTTAGACCAGTGACTCGGTTTGGGTCTGGTCCCCTAGGTCTTGTGCAGGAGCTCGGTTCAGATGAGTGGGGTTTTTTGTGCGATTTATTCAGCAGGTGGACTGGGAGGGCCGAGGCGTCGCTGACCCCCTGCAGCAGGGCTGAGCTCTTCGGTCTGCGTAGGACGGGCAGGGACTGAGGCATTTCGGAAGCGATGAGCCACAAATGCCAGCCCTGGGATTCATCTTGCTACCACAGATACACGTGTGTCGTTGGCCTAGTCCCAGCACAGCGGCCCCTTCCCTGATCGGGCTGACTGGTGTGCACCGAGGGGCAGGGCAGGGCAGGGCTGCCTGCCAGCCCTCGGGGGTCTGAGCTCACCTGCGGACTCCCGGTCAGGGGTGATCTTATCCACCCTCCCCTTGTACTGACCCCAGGGAGCTGATGTGCTCAGGGGTGCCCAGTGGGTGGGTGACCCAACCGGGCTGGAATTCTGGCCCCCGAGTCTCGCTGCATCTGTCTCTGCTGCAGCAGTGCCCCGGGGAGCCTCACAGTGGCTGAGTCACGCTAGGAGTCACTTCCTTCCGCGTTTTCGCTCATCCTTTCTGGTAACTTCTAGGGGAAGGGCTCCATTTGGGGCCATGGAGTCCCTAACACTTCCCTAATTCTTGTTCATTCCTCCTTCCTCTCTACCCTTTTCAAACTTAATAGATTTGGGGCCAGCAAATGGTGTGGATCCCACATGGCCAACTACGCGGTTCAAGTCCTGACAAAGCAGTTTGAGAAACACACCAGATTCACCTCTGTGTGTGTGTGTGTGTGTGCACGCACGCGCACGCCTCAAATCCTGACAGGGGATGGAGGAGAAAGGATTACGGTGTGGCCGTCCCCCCTCAGGGTGCTTTCTCACTTTCTTTCTCTGTCTCTCTGTCTCTCCCTGGTGAGCACACATGCCCTATAGCAAAATTTTTAAAAAATTCAATAGATCTTATATTTTAGGGTAGTTTTAGGTTTTACAGCAAAACTGAGCAAAAAGCAGAGTTCTCACATGCCCCCTCCCAATCACATGCCCCCCTCTGTCATCAACACTCCCCACCAGACAAGCCTTCGAGAAGGCACCACGTCACCCAAGGCCCACAGTTTCCATTCAGGGTGACGCTTGGTGTTTGGACAGATTGGTGACGACCATACGTCCACCACAACAGGGGACCCAGAGTGGTGTCACTGCCCTCGAAGCCCCCGAGCTCCGCCTACTCCCCCCGCCGCAAGCCCTGGCCCCTGGAAACCATCGACCTTCCACTATCTCCACCGCTTCGACTTTTCCAGGGTGTCGTGTCACTGGAATCATACAGGGGTCACCGTTTCACCATGCTGCTTTCACTTGGTGATCCGTGCAAACGGTTCCTCATGTCTCCTCACGGCACCGTAACTCACTTTCTGGAGCCGAGTGAGATCCCGTTCTCTGGGGGCCAGTGCTGCCGTGGTAGAACGCGACGCCCTGCGAGGCTGACTGCATGGGAGGGTTCTGGGTTCGTGTCTGGAGACCCCGAGAATGCCGGGCACTTACATGCCCGTGATCTGGGTGTGGATTGTGGCCTCAGGACCCTCTTGAGAGTGCTGTTTCTCCAGCCTCTCGCTCTTCCTCTCTCATTCTGTTACTTTCTCTCTGACTCATGAAAGAAAGACATTTTTAAACATTTTATTTATTATTATTATAATTTGCTGTGGGGCACATGTGCTTACCAGAGAGAGAGAGAGAGAGAGAAAATGAGAAAGCAAGCTGCCAGGTCTGAGACTCGAACCACAGTCAGCCATGTGGGAGTCCAGTACCTTAACCACCACACCACCTGCT